GCAAATGTTACTTTTTCATTATAGCTTGTATTTTACCATTTCTGTAATGCCTGTTGTCCTTATAAAAGCTTGAAATAGATACAGTTTATTCTGTTTAAAATTTAGTCATAAATTTAAATAGCATATTAATTAATAGAAGTCCAGGGTAAAATGGAAATATCTATTTTCCTATACCAAAAAAGTTATACAGAATAGACCACACACATACAGTTCCTTGACACTGAGGGGAAGAAAATATGAAGACTTTTTTAAAAGCAGACTTTCTTGTTTAATTTGTTCCAAGTTCTCTGTAACGTAATTGTTACATGGACTGCTTTATAGTATACATCCATATTGGAACTGACAGAATCTCTAGGGCCATGTTCTTAGAATTCAGTGATATCTGAGATCACACTTAGCACTACTTACCAAATTATTCATTATATTCTGCTTAGAGTAAGATTTACAGTAAATGTTGTAAATGTTGGTTGACAAATATGAGGTTCTGTGGTTTGGCAGTCAAATCTGTCAGATGGTTTCGCTTAGATCTAATTTTCCTAAAAAAAAAAAAAAAAAAATTGTGCTCAACTTCTTCAAATTACCAACCACTTTCCAGCCCTTCTCTTTCTTTACTCTTCCGTGACACCCTCAATAGCCCCCTTTTTGACAGTGTGCATGCTGGCCTTCGTTCATCATGTTCTTCCTCATCTCTCCCTAATTTTTCCTCCCCAGTCTGCTCTAGTGGCTTTTCTTCCCTTGACTTTCTCTTAGAATGTGGAGGTTCTCAGAATTTCCCTCCTTAAATTCAGCTCTCTTCATTACATACCTCCTTTGCACATCTTATTTATTGCTACAACTTAAAACACAACCCACTGAGTTGGTGATAAATCACAAGTGTACATTTTTACCCCTTATGTCTTTATTGAGTTTCAAATTTGTAACTACACAGTTGGAATTGCTGCCCATTTCTCTCAAAAGTCTGAAGTTCAGAAAGTCCAAAACCCAGCTTGACCTTAAAATGTCTTCTTTCCATGTCCTGTTCTCTGTTAATAGAACTACCATTAATCTCCCTTGTTAATCAAGCTTGAAGTCTGATTTAATCCTGTAGCAAAGTCCTATTGATTTCTCCTTCCTCATATCTCACGAAAATATATTCTCTTTCTCATCATAAAGCTTGTTCCATACTCTCATCATTAATCTCTAGTTAATCATTAATCATTAGCTGTCCACATTACACACAAGAATTGTCTTTCTAAAATATTGATTTTCTAATGAATGCTCTTGTTTAACCTCCTTCATACACTATAAATCACCTCAGAATAAAAGCCAAAGTCCTTGGGAGGACTCTCCAGGATTCAGCCTATGGCTAACTAACTAAGCTCATTTTCCATCAGCTTCCTATCCATTCTGGTACACGTTCCATGCTTCAGCTGTGCTCTCTATTCAGATGTACTTATCCATGCTGTTTTTTGCTTTAGTTTTTGTTGTTCTTTATTAGTCTAAGTGCATTCCACTGGCTACAGTAATTGGTTCAGGATTCCAGGCCTTTGCCAACCAGCATATTCTCCTGGCTAGAGGAATATAGCTCAGAACATTAGGACAACAGGGAAGGTTTGCTGGGTGCCCTTGGGGAAAAGTTTCCTCCCTCCAAAAGAGAGCCCCAGGAAGAGACACCCTCTCTTCTACTAGGTGTCCTGGGGTCAAAGGTCAAGCCTAGAAAACTGCTACAGTTGTTTTGCTCCCATCAGGGAAGATAGCCTAAGGATGAAATCAAAGCACAGAGTGCATAGTTGAGCAAATCTCAGAGAAAATGACCAAAAGATATTGACTTAAACCAACCCTGATGTCCATGCCATATGGACTTGAGATATGCAAGCTATTAATTTTTTGGTTTATGACCCTTTAGACCAACTTTTCTGGTATTTGCTGACCAAAGCCACCAAACTGATAAAGTTTTAAAGATTTTTATTTTTATTTTAGAGAGAGAGAAAGAGAGATCACACAACTTTAGGTCAGGGAAGCGATGGGGCGGGGAAGAGAACCTCAAGCAGACTCTGTGCTGAGCATGGAACACAATGCTGGGCTCAGTTTCATGACCCTGAGGTCATGACCTGAGACAAAACCAAGAGTCCAGTGCTTAAGAACTGAGTCACATGGGAGCTCTCCCTCTCCCCCCAACCCCATAAATAAACTTTTTAAAAATTTTACATACAATGTATTATTTGCTTCAGGGGCACAGGTCTCTGAATCATCAGACTTACACAATTCACAGCACATACACTCCCCAATGTCCATAACCCAGCCACCCTATTCCTACTCCCCCAAATCCCCAGCAACCCTCAGGTTGTTTCCTGAGATTAAGAGTCTCTCATGGTTTGTCTCCCTCCCCAGTCCTGTCTTGTTCCATTTTTTTCCCTCCCTACCCCCACAGCCCCCCACCCTGCCTCTCAAATTCTTCATATCAGAGAGATCATCATATGATAATTGTCTTTCTCTGATCCGATAAATAAACTTTTTTTTAAAAAAGCTCAAGAGAAGGTTGTTGGAGGCACATTAGATATGCTGAGGATGAATGAAACCAACTCCTTGTATTAAGACTTTGCCTTTTTCAGTGAATAGGCTTATCTTTAGACACACTCCCTGTGTATCTTACCAAGCAATTGTACTCTTTACATTTGCAAAGATACTGCTTTCAAATCTGATTGTGACATATGATCTTGAAGAACTAATATTATAAAAGAGCTGAAGGCACACATCCTTCTTACCATAAGTATTAATGCTAGATTTAAATTGGTAAACATTGGGCATGACTGCATTGACATGCAGGGTGTTTTGATCAGTTTAAAGAAAAAAGCAATGAATTTTTAAAATTTAGGTGGGTGGCTACTGAAAAATGAAATACATTCCTAGTGTCCATATAGGATTTCTTAATTCTTTAGAAGGAGCCTTTTTCATACAATTATTTGGACACTAACCTTCTAAGTTTCCTAGTTAATTCTAAGAATTGTGAAACATGGAGTTTTTGTGCATGAAAATATTTAATGCAAAAACCACAAGTTTAATATCACTCCATGTGTTCTTCTCTGTTCCAGGTTTTTCTTTTCCTTGAAAAAGAAAAATGTCAAACCTCTTTCAGTTTTCTACTCTTCATTGTCAGGGATGGTATTTGGAAGTAGAGCACGAAGTTCTTTATTATAAAAAGAAATGCTTGGAAATAAGAGTTAATGCTTAAATGAAGGACATAAGGGTTCTAATTTTTAAGAATTTAGATCAGCCCTGGGCTCCATAAGTGCCTGGACTGTTACTATGACCGTAGAGGATCAGAAGGGCTGTCTTACCTCTGCAATGCTTGCTACACTGTGTGCTCGTCTCTTGTATAGTCTTCCTTATCCTCAAGTGACTGATCAGTGTGTTCGGTGATTAAAGCATAGCCTTCTAGTTTCCTTTCTATTCTGAATTCACATTCCATTTCATTAAGATGCACGGCCCTAAGATAGCAGCACAAGATGCAGTAGGTCCTAATTTTGCACACATGGTTTTGTTTTGTTGAATTAAATCTGATCGTAACTGCACCACATTATGTACTTGCTTCTCATGTAGTCAATTCATGTTAGAATTCTGATCTCTCTTAGGGAATTGGTCAATTTTGATTTGTACCCGTGTGCCTTTAGTGGCTAACTGCTAAGCCTCAAATGAAGATATTATTTCAGGGAATGTCTGAGTCTGGTAACTTTTTTATATGAGAACGTTCCAAGAAGACACACAGGCTTATAGTTACTTCATGACACAGCTTGTAGGCAAGAGTAACTTGTCAGAATAAATGGGGAAAAAAGAATGATTAGATCAATGGAGGAATTCAAGAAAGGCGTTGCCAACTATTTTTTAAATTGTGGGGTTTAAAATTTCTTTCCTTATATTTACAAGAATATGATTTTTTCCCTGTTTTTTTTGATACATTAAAAAATAAATATGCAACTAAAAACTCAAAAGAAACTAAAAGCTAAGGTTGCTTTTCTGTAATCATTATGTTTATGACTTTTAAATCCTTCTCTGTATTCAGTGGTCTTTACTAGCTCTGTTTCAGTGGTCTTTACTAGCTCTGTGCCTTAGACGGCCAACTCCTAGGCATCTATGGCTGGATTTCCCTCACAATTGCTCATTTCCTCTTAAATGTCCCAGTGTACTTAATTGTAGTTTTGTTTGACTTTCCACCTCTCTCTGCTTTTTGAACAAGAGGAAAAATACACTAATACTTACATAAATGGACCAGTTTTCTGCTTTCACTAAAGTTTAAAAGAAAGCAGACCTTTCATGAATGTGCAAGGGGATAGACTAGTCCAAGCATTGAGTGAGCTGAACGGGTAAGTTCAGGGAGGTACAATGGGAAAACTGGACACCTCCCAAAGCCTCCCAAGTTTGCCCTCTGCCATGTTTCTATATTATTTTAGATTTAAAGTTAATTCTGAGAATGTCAAATACACCCATATTCAAATGTAAGTACAAAAACATGTCCTGAAGCCAAATAGAAAAAGAAAAAAAAAAACAACTACTTGCTACCACCCCTTGGTTCAGACAATTAGCATGAAAATCAGCTATAAATTTTTAAATCTATTCTGTTATTCCACATTTTAAAATGTAATCCCTATATGTGTGTGTGTGTGTGTGTGTGTGTGTTTTAAGGTTGTAGTAGGATAATTCCCTAATTGATATAGAATAGAAACTAAAACATTGGTATCTTACTTATTTTCAATTTAAATTGCAATTGTGGGGTGGGGGGAGAAAAGGATATAGAGTTTTGCTTTAGTTGGCATTGTGTTACTGCCATGGGAGTTTACTTTCATCTCAGTTCCCATAGATATGTGTGAGAAATTCCTCAGGGCCTGAAACAAGAGTATATTCAGGGTTATATGATCTGACCTAATCAACCATGAGTGCTCTGATACTCTTTAAAAAAAAATCCCTTGTACAAGCTGTTTAATGGAGGCCTTTCTCAATCATCTTCTCCTCCTTCCCTTGATTAGACATCGATGAGTGCAGCATCATTCCTGGGATATGTGAGACTGGCGAGTGTTCCAACACCGTGGGAAGCTATTTTTGCATTTGTCCACGTGGCTACGTCACCTCAACAGATGGCTCTCGGTGCATCGGTAAGCCTTGGATTTTTGAAGGCACAGTACAGTGCTTCTTTATAATAACAGAATAGCCCAAACGTGTATGAAGATGGCAACGATTATAAAACCATTGGGAAAGTGGCTGAAAAGGTTGTTTAAAATAAAGGCACCCCTATTGAGGGCTTGATAGACCAGGTGCTCTTTGCAAAGACTTCAGTTTCAAAAGCCATCTGGGTTTGTTTGATGTTGTCAGTGTCTTTTTGGAAATGAAGGAAGACTTCCTCAAGACATTGCTCTTGCCCAGTGCTAGAGACACAAAGGCAAGAGAAAGATACCTTTTTTTAAATCTGCCTCGGGAGACAGAATGGTAGTAATTAAAGCTTCTTCTGTTGCTATGAATCATGAATGTAGTCAGGGTCTTATTTACTTACAGCTTGTTTATTCTAGTAAAAAGAGTGATTAATTTGTGTTTTAAATATATTCAAAGTAAAGCCAAATATATTTGTATGTTTTCCCTTGTTTGGAAAGATGAAACAGTATTTCTCAGTCATGGTCTTGGTCATCCATTATTGAGCAAAACTTAAACTTAGGGCCACCATGCGATGTGAATGTGAGAGGTGTAGATTCTGCCTTGAGAATACTATATTGTCATCATAAATACTAGTAGAAGAATAAGAGTGACTGTAATAGAAAAAACAGAGGGAGTAGTAGTAAAAATAAGCATTACCATTTCTGAAACCAATGCCATGTGTAAGGCACTGCACATCTGTATTACCTCAATATCTCAGAACTGTGGGGCCTTGGGCAAGTTCTGACTTGCCCACTGACCCCTGTTCCTCAGTTTCTTCTAGTAAGTGTGTAGCAAAACATTCTTGATTATGGTTAAGAGGAGAAGAAAGAGGATGTGCCTGCCCTGGACCCATATGTTATGTAATCCTCGTGCTAGCTCTGTGTGATAGGTATGATTATTCAGATTTGCAGACAAAGAAATCTGAGGTTCAGAAAGGTTAGCTAAGTGACTTCCAGCAGATGGAGCCGGTGTTCTAATGCAGATCTCTGGGACTCCTGCCCCTGTATTACTCTGACACTACACTGCCTCCTTATCTATTTCAAGCAGGTGGAGACCCTGTATCTAGGTATCAAGGTCTCTAGTGTGAGTGGTTTCTCCAGTACTGTGCTGACAGTCTGCTTGGAGAGGTAGGATATCTATGTCTGGCCTCCCTCTCCCATCTTAGAGTAATGAGATTTGAATGATAGTTGTTTGTTCTTTATGAATGCATCAAGTTTGTATCTTACATTAGGTCAAAAATTTTATGTGGACTATTAAGTGTAGAAATTGGAGAAAATTAACTGGTTTTAGGGTCAGTGTGCCTATTGACTCACCACATGTAAGTTTAATTAATTTAATTTAATTTTGAAGTGACAGGTCTGTGAGGGTTGAAAACTAGTCGAACCTCCACTTGGTTTGATTTTCTAAAACTATGTAGGAGGATAATCTTTGTACATACACATACACATATTCATCAGCTTGAAACAGGCATGGATTCAACTCTGTGGGAGGAATACCAATTTGGGAGTCACCATTGAACATCATTGGCTCATGCCATAGACCCTAGTTTCAGGAAACTTACGTTCTAGAATATGGCTAGAATAAAAAGGGAGGCTGGAGATGTAAGTGAGGTTATTCTTGTGAAGTTCTAGACATCCACATCAGGTGTATATATTTTATTTGGCAGGTGGCCTTTGAGGCCACCTGCCAAATAAAGGCCCTCAGAGGCCTTTGAGCATGGATTAGAATGGAGGTGGTAAGGGCTGAGAAGAGAAGCAAACTAGTTAGAAGAATTTGACACAAATGTTAATCTTTTATATCATATTTCCAAATTAATTTTTTGTATTTGATTTTTTACATTTCTAAATATTTGTCAAACAAAATTTGTGTTCACTTTTTTTTTTTGCATTGGAAAGGAGGCATATTCTTCATTATATTCAGATATTCAAGATCAAGATTCGCAGTGTTTATGGAGGTTGTTTTTCTGCACTGTCAGATATTTGGTTTACCATGAAATTATGATAAATTCTCTTTGTCTCTTGCCTGCCTCTATAAAGTTCTGAGTCTTTACCTGGACATTCAAAGCCCTTTAGAACCTGGCACCAATCTGTAGTCAAGACTCATTGCTGGGGCGCCTGGGTAGCTCAGTCAATTAAACATCTGACTCATGATTTCAGCTCAGGTCATTATCTCAGGGTTCTGGGATGGAGCCCTGCATCAGGCTCTGCGCTCTTCATGGAGTCTGCTTGACATTCTCTTTCTCCTGCTCTTTCTGCATCCCCTCCCCCACTCAACCTCTCTGTCCTTCTGTAAAATGAATGAAATATTAAAAAAAAAAAAAGACTCATTGCTAACGACTTGCTGCCTAACACTCACATTCCTCTCACTGTTCTCTGTGACCACACTACCGTGGCTTGGCCCACAGTATCCGCTCTTCTGAAGCATCTTGATTTCCTCTTTCTGTGATCATTAAAACCTGACTCATCCTCTAAGTCCCCATTTAGATAGCACATTTTCTTCTTGGGCAAAATTAATCAGCCTTCCCCATAATATTTTTCATTTCCTTCATTTCTGACTTCAGTACACTGTACAGATACTTGTGCTTTATTTGTTGGCTGGACTGTGAGCTCCATTGGTCCGGCCTTACTGTGCTCCCTTGCAGCCTTACATGGTGCCTTGTATGGAAGTTGGGGCTCAGTAAATCTTTTAGAAATGAATAGACAAAACCATCTGAGGGTTGAGGGAGATGATGTCAAATGTGAGACTTTTGTGTTGGTTAATGACTGCTTTGCATCATTTGGCATCCTGCTGGATGTGGTACAGTGGACATGATCTGTCCCCAAGATAAGAGCCTGCTTGAGCTCCAGCTCCAGAGAGCTGAAGGACAATGAGACCCATGCTAAGCAAGAGGACCCGTTCATTCCAGGGTCAACATCCTGACCCAGGAACAAAGATCCCTTAAGGAGGGAGGAGTGGCTCTCCAAAATTATAAAACCATTATTAAACTTAAGCAAGCAGCTTAAAACTTTTTTGAATAACTCTGTTACATTTGGAATAAGTATGTGTTTTCCATAGATGAGAAAAAACAAATCTAATATTTTAATGTGTAAGAGATCTTTGATTTTGATATTTTAAAATCTGAGACTGTCTTTCTTGCACTGCATTTGTTTATGATTAAATTATGTATGTTATGGATATGTCTGTGCCATTTATTTCATAACCACATATATACTAATAATAATGAGTTGGATGGACTCAAAAATTTTTCTTGAATATGAAACTGCATGTTATCTGCAGCTCTCTTCTGAGAGTGGCATATGCTAAATGCCGCCCCCATTTCTTTTTTTTTTTTTTAAGATTTTTTTATATATTTATTTGACAGACAGAGATCACAAGTAGGCAGAGAGGCAGGCAGAGAGAGAGAAAGGTGCAAGCAGTCTCCCCGCCAAGCAGAGATATCCGCCCGATGTGGGGCTCGATCCCAGAACCCTGAGACCATGACCTGAGCCGAAGGCAGAGGCTTTAACCCACTGAGCCACCCAGGCACCCCTGCCGCCCCCATTTCTTATTCTAGTCAATAAAAATATCCTGAGTATAAACCGCATTATAAAGCACCAGTAAACTGCCTTATTTCTTTTGTGTGTAGGAAAACAATTTCACATGGCAAAAGAATTTAGCTGGACATTTTAATTTCAAACTAGGATAGTTTTCGCATTTTACTTTATACTAAATATAAAACTCAAATGCTGAGGTAATTTTATCTAGTATGTTTTATCAAGTTTTTTTTTTTAAATACCCAGAACAGAGCTTTCTTTTCAACATAGAGTACTAACATATGTCCATTCTAAAAAAGAGTAGAAACACGTTAATAATCTTTTTCTTAGAAGCATTTTTAATAGCACAGTTTAATGACCCTGATGTCATTTTGGAATACTCTGGCATTATTAATACCTAATTTCCACATTGTAATATAGGCAGAGAGAGTGACTCCAGACAGCAGTGAGTAATTAATGAACTGATAAGAGCAGTGAGCAAATTCTGTATGCAAGATGATATGTCTGCTGTTGTGAACATGGATCCAGCAGGAACCCTAAGCAGAGAGATTTGAAAGTACCAGTCAGCAACAAAGCCACAAAGTTCAGGAAATGAGAGCAATAAGCATGTAGAAATCTTATGGCCACAACATCCAAGGACATTTTCTTAAGCCTTACAAAGTTTCAGTGCACAATATTGTCTTGCAATATTCTTAAGAAAACAAAACCTGAAAACAGAAATGTGAAAAAAAATAATAAAAGAAAATGTTTAAGGCCATGGGTGATTTACTGCTAAATCATTTTGTAGGTGTTGGATTCTCTAAGTCAAACATTCTTGAGGAAGTGGGTATGGGTGTAGACTTTGGCACACAGGTAGGAATTGCATGAAGGGAACAGGGGTGTGCAGAGTAAGAAGAAAGGTGTGAGTAAGACTGCAGACACAGAAAGTGTCTGAGGGGCTCCGGAGAGGGTGTGAAGAATATATCTGTGAAAGAGAGCTGAGGGAGGGAATCGTTGGAGAAAAAACAAGAAAGATGGTTGAGATTAAGTTCTGGTTGCTACGGTTCTTAACTTCTATGCTGAGGAGTTTCAGACTGATCCCAAGGGCAGTGAAAGCCTATCAAGATGTTCTAGCAGGATATAGACCAGAGATGAAAATCAATGGGGGAAAAGTATTTTAAAAGAAACAGGTCTTCATGCAATGATTTAGAGTGATGACCAGGATATGCTGTTGTCATTCAGCTCCCTATGTGACCATGGGTATTGATCACATGAGCACATGCGTATTTGCAAAAAACCCCAGAACCCCTAAAAATGTTTAACTAAAGGGAGAAAGGGAGACAGAGATGCAGCTGGAGACTGAATAGTGTTTCACTTTTAACTTCAGAATCACATACAAGTCAACTGGTGGAACGGAGATACTAGTTTTAACTAAGAAGGAAGGTCCTAGAAAG